GTAGGTACAGGGGGTAGGCTTACAGGGGGGTAGGTTCAGGGGGAGTAGGTGTGGGGGGGGTAGACTTACAGGGGGTGCATACATTGTTTTTGCTCTGAATGTTTGATCATTCAGCAGTAAAATCTGTATGTTTTTACTGTTTGCTCTGTTTTCACTTGTATATATATGGGACATTATGTCTTCCATAGTTTACAAAAGAGAAGTCAAACATAGTTTTAGACATAGCTATAGTTTGAGACAGTAACCCTTTATCATGTAGACTTTGAAGTTATTTTGTACCGTTTCTATGTTCTTTTATCCTTGTTATTTGCAATTAGCCTTCGGGCAGGAATTTGCAATAAACTTATCATATATTTTGACCTTGGCTTACCTGTTTAGGGTGACCTTGGGTGGATGACCCGGGGGTCGATGGTGGGGCCGTTTCAGGACGCGGCCTTTGCCCTTCAACCCAGCACGACCCAGAAACCCGTCTACACCAACCCACCAATCAGAACCAAGCACGGCTATCATGTGATCATGATCGAGGGCAAGAAAATGTGACGTTGGAAAATCTCTGGTCTGGGTTAGAATATTTTTTTTTGGGGGGGGGGAGTCTGTGTGATAGCCATGTAGTAACCATTGAGTGAAATAGTTTTTGGGGGAGCCTGTACCATATAGTCTGGGTGCCATCTGATTTGTAACGGCAACCCCGTAAAAATTTTCCGGGGTTGCCGTTACAAATCGGGTGGCGTTCAGGCTATGTGCCATAGCCATGTAGTAATGTAGTAGCCAAACCACTTCAGTGCTAACTCAAGTTGCACAGACCAAATAAAATCACAGTCCGAAAAGTTAGAGGCAATATTCTCTATTGTAGATTTTCTTCTTACAATTGTAACATTGTGCAACAGTCTGTACGATAGAGATGTTGTAACTAAACAACTGAAATGCCAACTTAAGTTGTACAGACCCAAATAAAATCAGTCTGAAAAGTTAGGGGTGTATTTAGTGCAAGAAAAGCTTCAGTCTTTTGTAGCTGAACATCATTGTAGCTGGAGTTTTGTAAATCACCACTAGGAGGCATTGCAGCACATTGGCCTTTACCTACCTGAATATATAATAGTTATCTGTCTTCACAACCTCCTTGTTTGAACTCAGCAAGTGATTTATTATCTTCTAGTTTATGTGAATTAAGAAAAAACTTGAATAGCTAGGGTGACTGAAAATTCCTTTGAAGATGGGACATCTGTAGGTCTTGACATGTTATTAGCTGTCCTAGCTTGCTTGTACATGTATCATTACTTCAACTTCCAGGTAATAAATGTTTCTTGGAGAATAAATACTGCCTGTTCTGACTTATTGGCGTTGTGTTTCAACTCAAATCTAATTACACATTGTGCACCAGTGGTTAAGTGGGGAAAATATGTGTAAAGTGCCTTTCCCAAGAGCATAAAGGCTCGTCTGAGGGCATGTCTGGGTGCATGTCTGGGTCCAACCCTGGGGATTGAACCTGGGTCTCCTTGCTTGATAGTCGGATACTCTACCACTACACCACTCAGTTTAGTGCAGTCCTGAATGACATGAGATCGCTGGTGTTGTTGTTACGTGTATTTTGTGTCTCTCCCTAAACACGGGACCTCCATTTACCGTTCCATCTGGGGGACGTCCCTAACTAGAGCTATTTGCTAACTGAAGTGTAGTTGTGAATGACAGATTCTTCATTGACTCAAGAAAAAGTTCAGGGACTTTTGTATATGGTCTGTATCTGTATAGCCGGTATATGCGCCCTTCAGCGTAACTCACCAGCTTCGCAGGCACACGGCGTGGCGGCAGCTACCTATATCACACCGAACGACTTGTTACACTCAATCTTTGCACATTTGATTGCAGGAGTTGTTTAAAGCTTTCTAGTGATGATGCCCCAACTGTGCTTGGTGGCAACAATCGAGTTCCAGTCTACGATAGTTCTGGGGAAATACGAGTTTTTGAATACCTCAATTCTTGGTTGATAACTCTGATATTTGAAGGCATGACTGTTTCTCATTCTTTTCTGGGCTGGTATCAGATACTTAGTGGTTGGTACGTCCACCAGTTTATTAGTCATTTTGTACATCGTGCACAGTCTGGACATTCTACGTCTGTCTTCCAGTGACCCCCACTGTAGGTTTCATTTCATTTCCGTTACACTAGCACCCCTTTGACGGTCTTCTACAACTACAGATCTAATGACATGAGATCGTTGCTGTTGTTGTTAAGTGTATTTATTGTAAGTCCTGTTAACATAGCTGTGTACAGACCACCTCTGCGATATCAGGGCGGCTCAGGACAAACTTTCGGTCGCAAAAACACAAACTGGTCGACACAAAGTCATGTAGGAGGGACCAACGCAGGATTTACAAAATGCAACATTCCTGGGAAGAAGACAAAAATACCATAAAGAGATTTCACAAAAGTCAGCAATTTTATGTCAACTTCTATTATAATTCAATTTTAGTCAGTCGTACACACGTGCGATTTGATGGCAAAATTACAGTCAGCATAAGTAGTTATATTATAACGCTGTCCACTACAGAACTTAGCGCGGCCTGGCGGACACACCAGGTACTGCACTACGCTGAGACAGGATATAAGATATTGCCACGGAGATCGTTGCCATAGTTACTCACTACTTACATACAAACAAGAAACTACACATGCTGCACAGGAAAGCCGCTTTCCTTAGTTACCAGAAATCACATCGGGTTGTAAGAAGAAATTCAAGTTTGCCATCAATTTTTTTCAGTTAAGTATAAGCCTCTTCTTTGTATCACTACACTATAAAAATAACCAACACCCATGCAGCTCTGCCGATTTAAATAGGTTCTGCCCTGGAAGCAGGATTCCCATTGGCTGGTTTTAAGTAGGCAACCAATAGGCCTTTAGTTTCACTCTACGGTAGCCAATGGGAAGGCAGCTTGCAGGGCCGCTCTACAATCAAGCAGGAAGGGGAGTATGCACAGTGGGATCTTCCATTATAGAAAGGCCATGGGGGGGAACAAAGCTGCATTTGAAGTTTTGAAACTTTCGTTGTCTAGAAAAAGTCGTTTCTATGTTCTTCACAAAATCTGGACTACACCGAGGCAGGCTGAAGCTTCTGGTCTCAAAATGGACCCTTCTCCCCCTACAAACCACGTGGACTGGTCCACTGTTCATGTTGCTATGGCAACCACAGTAAACACATCCCCACCCCCCCTCCTTCCGTCCTGTCGGCTAAACCACGGGTCTGTCTGTGTCAGGAAGAGATATTTTTGTGCCGTTTTTTTTTTCCTTGCGTGGAAAGTGGAACATTCCCAGGTCTGAAGTTTTCGGCTTGCGCTGGTCCAAACGTGAAGCATGCAGGTTAGTCATACATACAAGACAGGAAACTTCTCAACTCCAGATCCTCAGGTTTAGTAAGAAGTCTTAAGTGAGTCACACAAAGTGTCGGACGCTTTGTTCTCGTCTTCTTTTTATACACTTAAAGGAGTCTTAAAGAGAGATTGCTTTTCACAAGTCGGAAAGATAGTGTTACGTCTTACTTCAGTCTGAGGAAGTTTACAAGGTGGAAAACTTTACATGCCTGGACGAGCTGCGCTGTCATTGGTCCAAATTAAACAGCAGACAAACAGAGTGTGAGGATACGGACCAATGGAAGCCCTACCATGCATTACCGTGGAGATGACCTCTGACCTCCAGGTGACCCTACGACCTTTGTAGTTTTTTCTCATAGTGGAAAATAAATTTTTGGTGAATCTTGGTCTCATGCTATCACTAACACATTTATAAACTTTTGTACTGTACAATTTTTATCAATACAAGCAAATCTACAGAGTCAGCCCAAAATCTTCCTTTGTGCCCTTACCGCCTGCCTCCGTCGTGATTTCTGTGAATTTTTCTCACTCAACCTTTCTTTCCCTCCTTCTATCCACACTAACCTCCATGTTAAACAATATGGGGGCTGGGTGTAACATTTTGGGGGCTCTAAACTGCCCCCTGCCTTTTTCCTTTCCTGGTTTTCAAAGGGAGTTTTGGGTCTTCCAACGCCAAATGGCCGTCAGCTGCCTGCTAGTGTCCAATTCTCATCGGTCAAATCTGGTAAAAGGAACAACTTTGGTTTCTCTGGGTCTGCCTAGAAGAGACCCCTGGCAGCTGGTGTAAGAACTGCAGCTGCCGCTCCAAAGAGTTAAAAGTGAGGGAAGAATCAATCAAGACTAGTCTACGATCTCTGCCTGTTGTAAAAACTTGTCCCCGAGTCCCCACTTAAAGACATCTTCTCCCGCGGTTAAGAACGTTGACAGGCGCGTCGATCGCCCTGCCCTTCTTGGCACGTGCAGAAGAAGACACAACGTCTCGCTAACGTAGTACGTAACGTCCCCCGTCTCGTCTGTGCATAGTTACGACCCCGATTCTCATCCCTCCCCCTCATTGGCCGAACGGACGGGTTGCCGGGGTAACAGGCAGCTGTCAATCATCCTCCCATCACTATGGTTACAGCCAATCAGGGCTGAGTTGTGTCCAAATAAGGAAATTTGGAGATAATTGCCCATATAAGGAAATTTGCTGATGGCTGAGTTGTGTCCCAATGCCCATATAAGGAAATTTGGAGATGGCTTAATGGCATCCCGAATGCCCATATAAGGAAATTCATGAAAATGTGTCCCCCCCCCTTCCTACAGTGGTATGGTCCAGATTTGAGTATTGCTTCTTGCTTGATGAGGAAATGACCAACAGGAAGTTCTAAATGCTCCACCCCTGGGGAGTTGCCAAAAATGACTAAAACCCAGTGTGTGGGTTTGGATGTTTTTCAGCTGCCTGGTGCGCCCCCCTCCCCCCCGCCGGCGCCCGTTCGCTCCGGGACGAGACGCTGCTTCACGTGAGCTTCTCCTTGGCGGGAACCCACGCGGTCTGCTGCGAGTTGTCCTGGATCACGCCCTTGACCTTGTCGTAGATCTCGTCGATGGTGTCGCCCTGCACGATGGCCGTGAAGTACTCAGCGAACTCCTGCTCAAGCTTCTGCGCACGCTCGTACGTTTTCCTGGCCTGCTCTTCTGTGATTCGCTTGTTCATTTCCCTGCAGGGGCAAAGGTTACAGGTCAAGGGACAACCGGAAAATGCTGGATTGGGGGGGTCCAATGTTGCTTGGCATGCTGGGATATGCACAGATGCACTACGATTGACAGCTTGGCATGCTGGGATACCTACATCAGCAGTATAATTGACAACTTGGCATGCTGGGATATATCAGCTATATTGACATGCTGGGATAGCCTGGCATGCTGGGATACATCAGCAGAATGATTGACAGCTTGGCATGCTGGGATACATGAGCAGTGTGATTGACAGCTTGGTATGCTGGGATACATGAGCAGTGTGATTGAGAGTTTGGCATGCTGGGATACATGAGCAGTATCATTGACAGCTAGGCATGCTGGGATACACGAGGAGTATGACTTTGAGAGCATGGCATGCTGGGATACACGAGCAGCATGATTGAGAGCTAGGCATGCTGGGATACTCACATAATAGACTCGATAGACTTGGGTTTGATGAAGATGGCGACGGGGTAGAGTTGGGCCACCTGCAGACGCTTGATGGCGTTTCCGGAGACGTCCAGGATACAATGCTTGCCCTGCGCACAAATATAACACAACATGTCACGTTAACTGTCCAGGATACAATGCTTGCCCTGCGGGGATAGAAAAACATGTCACATGTCAACTCTTCTGTTGCCATGGAAACGTCACATCAGATCAACTCTAGCGGGCCATGAGCTTGTTTTGTTACCATGGCACAAAACATGACATCATATTACCCATGGTGGGTCATGGGCTGCCTCTGTTGCCACACAGGTCAACATGGCTCCTGCATATCAGGTTACCGATGACCAGGAAAACGTCACCTTCACAGCTGGGCATCATGGGAAGTCCTCAGAAATACCACTAAAGCATCATGGGATGCCCTCACAAAACAGAATGATGTGCATCATGGGACTACCCTCGTAAAGACAGTTATTGTGGGATTGACAATAAGATCATGTTTTTTTTTGCTGTGACCTTGACTGACCTTATCTGCTACTTCTTTATTAATTAACGGAAGCCACGCTGGTTCCGTACAGGTGACCTTGACTGACCTTATCTGCTACTTCTTTAACGGAAGCCACGCTGGTTCCGTACAGGTGACCTTGACTGACCTTATCTGCTACTTCTTTAACGGAAGCCACGCTGGTTCCGTACAGGTTGTCGTTGTACTGCCCCGCCTCGATGAAGAGGTGGTTCTGGATGTCGCGCTCCATCTGTTCCCGCGACGCCACGAAGTGGTAGTCCCTGCCGTCCACCTCGTATTCCCGCTTCGACCGCGTCGTGTCTGTAACCATGGCAACGGTCGCTTAGCAACAGTAACTTAGCAACAACACGTGGCAACCGTAACTTAGCAACAACACACGACAGACATGGGGTAATCCCTGCCGTCCACCTCGTATTCCCGCTTTGACCGCGTCATGTCTGTAACTATGGTAACGGTAACTTAGCAACAATGCATGGCAACCATGACAGCCAATGGTGGCAATCCCTGCCCTCCTGATCATTATCACAGTTTACATGGTGAATATATAATTTTACATGGCAAATAAAAGCAGATGTGTTACTCACGTGGTACACAGCTACCGAACTTGTCAGGAAACTCTGAGATGAGGTCATCATTTACGCGGTCCTGTTGGAGGGAACAACGCTCGTTAAACAACAGTCTGACGAGTTTGACTCTAAAATCTCTAAACCAGCGATATAACACATCTGTACCATGTCACTATAGGCTTCATTTCTCACTACTGCTTAACATCCATGTCACAAGCTCAGGAGACTGAACAGAAAAAAACATGCGAGTTTACTGTCAAAAGTCACAACCTTCCATCCCCATCCCTCCCTCTATCCCTCCTTTCAAACAACCATCCATTTACCTATCCATTCTTCCATCCATCCCTCTTTAATTCCCTCTGTCTGTCTTACCTTCAATGGCCCCAGTATGATCACTGGTCTTGTGTATTTCACTGGAAAGAAAAAGAAAGAATATCTGCTGTTACATTTTCTGATTCCAACTTGAATGTTTCTTCAATATGTCCTTCATGACTTCTTCTGGTATGATACTTAGTCAGAGCTCAGTCTACTGCTAGCATCTATTTCCTTCGATTCATATTTTATCTATAGCAGCCAATCCAAATCTAAACCAAGGCATAGAGATGGTGCATGATCAATGCTGTTCTATACTGTATACATCATAACAATTGACTGCTTATGCATATTTAACGATTTACTCAATACTTACTGCTTCTGCAGTGACATAGTTTGTGCTACTGTGTGTTTGTGCCAAACTTACACTCTTGTACAAGTGATATTGTTTGTTTGTTTGTTTATGATACTGTTTGTTTGTGCAACTGTTTGTTTGTGCCATACTTACACTCTTGTACAACAGAGATATTGTCTGTGCTGTTTGTTTGTTTGTTTGTTTGTTTGTTTATGATACTTACACTCTTGTTGTACAACAGCTTCATATGACAGAACTGGTTCATCGACTCCCCCTGAGGAGAGAGAACAGTACTGCAGTCAGAACGGTTCAAGGGCGTGAGCTCAAGGTTAAGATGGCTGCCCTCTGCTGGGAGCGGAACAGACAGGGCAACAGCCTCCCTTACTTCTCCACTAACTCCCATCCACCATGCAGTCACTATGGCAACCGTAACTATGGTTACACTCATGACAAACGAGAAGTCAAAACTGTAATTTTACTTTACTGAGTAACGCCTTTATACAGAAACTTTTTGTTTTTTATATTTACTGAAAATTGATGTATCCAGCATGGTTCTATTTCTTGTCACAAAATAAGCTTGACATACATATGAGAAACATACATGTGTAAAGACTTGTTCATGCTCAGGAACTACATGCAGATAAAACAAATGGTGGTAAAAGCTGATACAGATAGCCTGATGTCACACAATGTCTCAATTTTGGACATTTTTGCCAAGACTCCAGTTTTCATAAGTCAAGAGATTTTACTCTCCAAAAGTTGTGACATCAGACCATCCAAGAAATGCGAAAAAAACTCATGCAGAGAAGTTTGAAGAAAGGAAAGCAGAAAAGATTGAACTGCAGAATGGATGCAGGAAGGATAGAGGGAAGTTTTACCCTCCGATTCGCCAGTAATTTCACCTGAGTGACAGAAAGAATGAAGAGAAGATGGAGGACAGGAAGTCAAGAACGTGGCAAAAGTCAGACAATGATGTTACGGTAAAATGATGAGAAAAGATGCAAAGCAAACTTCACAAAACATGAAAACTCTGAATTACATGGTTTACGAAATTCTTAATGTCACAAAATATAAAAATCACAATCGTGATGACAAGAGGTGTGTGTTTTTTTGGGCCTCGTGGAGAAGGAGACAAGAAAAACCTCCGTAGAGTGGTGGAAGGTGACAGAACATTATGGGATACAGAGAGAGGGGTGAGATATAGACAGATAGTGACAACTAGAGATGAATAATATTATACACGTATAGAGAGATGAGCACGTTGGCAGAATGTACAGCGCCTGTGTAAAACCCGAATTTTTCAAGGTTTCTGTTGTATGCTTGGTCAACATTGCATCAGAATTTTGCCTTTTTTTTCCATTGCAGATGATATCTTTGCTGACACAACATTTGAAAACTATTGACAGAATATTTATTTCAGTTTTTCAGTTTATTTATTTATTTCACCAGCAACTACACTCAGATTGAATAAAAAGCTGTTTGGAATGTCATCCTTAAATGCGTGAATACGACCTTAAAAGAGACATTCAGCTGTAGAACTTTGCCATACGTTATGGGTTTTGAGCAAGTGCAGTACGCTCTGCCGAATTGTGCCAGAGAGAACAAATACACAGTTGAGTGAGGGGACATGAAAGAGAGGACAACACCCAAACTGAGAGTGAGTTCAGAGAGAAGACGGAAAACTACAGAGAAGTAAAGTAAAAGTAGTAAAAGAAGTAAACGTGTGTTTAGAGAGGCTGAAGTGACATGATCAAGAAGAGAAGACTGACAGATTAAAGTAAGACAGAAACAGGCTGGTAACAGGACAGAATCAGGCTGAAAACAGGTTGGAAACAGGACAGAAATAGAGTGGATTGACATGGAAGACAAGCTGTAGAAGAGTGAGAGAAATGATGTATGAGTGAACACTACAGGATGTTTGTGTTGCAAAGATTAGGAGCAAACAGAGGAGTCAGAACCTGGTGTATCCAGAACCATGCTTTATCCAGAATCATGCTCAGGCACAGTTCTGGATGGTCCAAATACACATGTATATCCAGAACTGTGCTTGGGGCAAATATACATTTTTGGATATGCAGAGACTATCCAGAACCGTGCCTGATCCTAACCCTAACCCGTTCAGGCATAGAACTAGATAGACACAGTTCTGAACCCGTTCTCAGGTGTTATGATGTGTTAGGTCAGGCGGGAGAGAGAAAGCAGCAGTCTCATGCAAAGTTATGACATATGACAGCAAAACGTTAAGTCCAGCGGCATGCACATCAACTAGAACAACCAGCAAGGACCAATTTAGAGCTGACTGTTAGCAGCAGAGAGCATTAGACAGCAGAATCTTGTATGAGTTCAGCATAAAGAATGTTATGTACAGTTCCAGTAGTGATAGCAGTAGTACAGTTACAGTAGTGAGCAGAAGTGGACATGGAGTCAGTTCCTATGAAGGGAGACTGTTGTTATTTACCACAGGGGAGGCAGCAGAGACACTGAAGGGAGAAAACTTAGCCTGGAACAGACACTTCCTGGGTTTCAGCAGTCATGGCTAAGTTTCAGACTATTAGAAAGACTCTGCCAGGGGCTTTCCTGACTCCAGTTTCTCTTTGAAATGAGAAAACAGCTCAACATTCTACAAGGTTTTACTCCAGTAATCTTTTGCTTCAAAAAGACTGATGAAAGTAGAATCCCAGGGAAAAGGCTGTTCCAGGCTAGGCTGAGAGGAACTGCAGGATAGGGGGAGCTGTTGTATGGGTGGTGGAGCAGAGAAACTGCAGGATAGGGGGCGCTGTTGTATGGGTGGTGGAGCAGAGAAACTGCAGGATAGGAGGAGCTGTTGTATGGGTGGTGGAGCAGAGGAACTGCAGGATAGGAGGCACTGCTGTATGGGTGGTGGAGCAGAGGTACTGCAGGATAGGAGGAGCTAGCTGTTGTATGGGTGGTGGAGCAGAGAAACTGCAGGATTGGAGGAGCTGTTGTATGGTTTTTGGAGCAGAGGAACTGCAGGATAGGAGGCGCTGTTGTATGGGTGGTGGAGCAGAGGAACTGCAGGACAGGAGGAGCTAGCTGTTGTAAGGGTGGAGGAGCAGAGGAACTGCAGGATAGGGGGAGCTGTTGTATGGGTGGTGGAGCAGAGAAACTGCAGGATAGGAGGAGCTGTTGTATGGGTGGTGGAGCAGAGGAACTGCAGGATAGGAGGAGCTGTTGTATGGGTGGTGGAGCAGAGGAACTGCAGGATAGGGGGCGCTGTTGTATGGGTAAAGCAGAGGAACTGCAGGATAGGAGGAGCTGTTGTATGGGTGGTGGAGCAGAGGAACTGCAGGACAGGAGGAGCTAGCTGTTGTATGGGTGGTGGAGCAGAGAAACTGCAGGATAGGAGGAGCTGTTGTATGGGTGGTGGAGCAGAGGAACTGCAGGATAGGAGGCACTGCTGTATGGGTGGTGGAGCAGAGGTACTGCAGGATAGGGGGAGCTGTTGTATGGGTAGTGGAGCAGAGGAACTGCAGGATAGGGGGAGCTGTTGTATGGGTGGTGAAGCAGAGGTACTGCAGGATAGGAGGAGCTGTTGTATGGGTAGTGGAGCAGAGGAACTGCAGGATAGGGGGAGCTGTTGTATGGGTGGTGGAGCAGAGGTACTGCAGGATAGGGGGAGCTGTTGTGTGGGTAGTGGAGCAGAGGAACTGCAGGATAGGGGGAGCTGTTGCATGGGTAGTGGAGCAGAGGAACTGCAGGATAGGGGGAGCTGTTGTATGGGTGGTGGAGCAGAGGTACTGCAGGATAGGGGGAGCTGTTGTATGGGTAAAGCAGAGGAACTGCAGGATAGGAGGCGCTGTTGTATGGGTAAATCAGAGGAACTGCAGGATAGGAGGCGCTGTTGTATGAGGATGAGGATGTTGGTAGGAACGGCAAACTTACGGTAGCTACTCTCGCTATCACTGGCGTTAGTGGACACCTCTGTGGGAGCAATGCAGGGGGTCAGATATTCACGCAGAACTACAGGTACTGAGGGTACTCAGGTACCATGGTCACTCCTACAGGTACTGTGGGTACCTGGGTACCATCGCAACAAATCTGCAGGTACCACAGTCACTTCTATAGGCACTGTGGGTACCCAGGTACCATGGTCGCTTCTACTGGTACTGTGGGTACCACAGGCCAGACCTCAGTACCCAAGTACCATGGTAACAAATCTGTAGGAACCACAGAAACCTCTGACAGTGAAGGTACCATAGTGAGGACCTGAGTACCCTTGTACTATTGATAGATCTAGGTACTGTAGGTAACACATGAGTTACCCAGTACCACTGACAAAAAAGGATCTCCCTACATTGTCACTTATTTACATAATTCATATTTTCAAGATATTCATTCAGAATTTAACAACAGGAGTTTTCTCTGAGGAAGATCCTTTCTGCCACGGAGCTAAACAAACAGAGGACCGAAACAGCTGCTGCACAGCTCACAGAACCATGCTTTATCCAGAACCAAGCTCAGGTACAGTTCTGGATAGTACATGTGTATCCAGAATTGTGCTTTATCCAGAACCATGATCAGGTGCAGTTCTGGATAGTACACATGCAGATGTATCCAGAACTGTGCCTGGGGCAAATCTTATAATGTTCTTGGATAAGCGGGTAGACTATCCAGAACCGTGCCTGATCCTAACCCTGACCCATGCAGGCATAGAACTAGACAGGCACAGTTCTGGGAACGTCTGAAAGCAACTGTATCAGTCCTCTGTTTGTGTTGTACAAATTTACTTTTTAAACATCATCAACAGAAACATACAGCACCAACAGTCTATGCTAGAGTCATCAGCACAGTAGAGATACCAGACACGCCCCTCATCAGCTTAGAACCTCACCAGGCGACACGGCTACAATGGCCTTCCCAAGGTTCGGACTAAGAAATGTTTCCTTTTCTAGTACTAGTTTCCTCAGGCCATTTTCACAAAACAATTTTGCAAGAAAGATAGCTTGCTTTGAAGGAGCAATTACAGTATGATCTGCGACATGCATTTCACAAAGTCTGTCTGCTAATTCTTTATGTTGCTGTACTGGTACTTTCACCAGCAATTTCCAATCGGGTTACAGATTCACTTTTACTGCTATATTTCTTTCAGGACGTTTTGTCAAATGTTTCACAGTATGGTGCTACGTCTTGGGTTTTGGTTACGTCTTGGCGGAAGTCTTAAGATGGTGAGGAGCGAGTTTCTGGAGAGGACAGGCAGAGAGTCACACCTTCCCAGCAGTCACTGTTGGACACAGACTTGCCATCATGTCTGATGGCCACTGATCCGCCAGGCAGCAGGGAGGAGAGAGAGAGCAGGAAACAACATCACTACATCACCCCTAACCTCTCACACTTAACCCCTACCCTCTGACACTTAACCCCTAACCCAAACTTTAACCCCCACCTAGGCAGCAGGGAGGAGAGCAGAGAGCAGGAAACAACATCACTAAATCACCCCTAACCTCTGACATTTAACCCCTAACCCCTAACCTCTAACACTTAACCCCTGACCTCTAACATTCAACCCCCAACTTCTAACCCCCACTCAAGCAGCAGGGAGAAGAGAAGAGAGCAGGAAACAACATCACTACATGACCCCTAACCTCCGACACTTAACCCCTAACCTATAACACAGCTCACAGCTCAGGAAGGAGGGTAACATTGACTACAGATTCTGAACTCTACCTTTAACCCTACCCTAACACAGGAAGAAAAGAGAAGAAATATCACCAAGAAGACATAATATCACTCACTAACAATAATATCAAAACTACACATTTCAATTTACATCATGAGGGATTCTAAAAGCAACAGAACTGTTCAGCTGAGATGCAGCTAGGCACAGGTGTACTCACGTTCCATATCACTTGTGTCCATGTCAGAATCTTTGTTCTTGTAGAAGGGGAATTTCCGAGACAAAACCAGATTTTTCTTCCTTTTGTCGCTCAATGATGACTGCAGGGGGAGAAACAATCAGGATCAGCACTTACTTAAGTTACTATCATTTAAGTTAAATTCAAACTTTGAAACTTCACAAACATGTTTGTAATGTCAGTCAGACCTACCCTGCTCCCAGGCTCGAGTGTTCCTCTGGTAAACTTGACTTGTTTCAACCGAGCTCTTTCTTTCCTCTCCACTCTGCAACAAAAAATGGCAACAACTTTGTTACATATTGTCCACCCAACCTGGCAACTTTCACAGCTGCTACAACTGTGGCAAACGAGCTGCATGTTGCACACATTTTAAAGCCATAGCTTTAAGTAGAATCAGTGTACAGGTGTGTGTTGTTTAGTCATTCAGACTTCAGATAAGATTACTACACAGCAAAGCTGCAACTGTCCCTCCTGAACCCAGCTTGATTAGTAACCATGGCAACTGTAACTATGATGACCAGGGTGAAATTTGACCTTCTGATATAACAGTACAGCAAATTAGAATTGACCTCTTACTGGACGGCAGTAACCATAACAGTAACTAAGACAGCTGTGAGAAGTTACTATGACAGCAGTAACCATGACTAGTCACCATGGCAATAGTAACCATGACGACAGTCACCATGGCAACTGTAACCATGATGACAGTAACCATGATGACAGTAACCATGACTAGTCACCAGGGCAACAGTCAGCATGACAGCAGTAACCATGGTGACAGTAACCATGACGACAGTAACCATGGCAACTGTAACCATGATGACAGAAACCATGACAGTAACCATGACAACAGTAACCATAATAACAGTAACCATGACGACAGTAGCATGGCGACAGTAACCATGGCAGCAGTCTCCGTGCCTACCTCCTCTTGCTGGGGATGACTCCGAGGCCCTCCTCCTCTCCTGTGGCTGTGACGAGCCGCGCCTGCCACCACTCGTCGTCGCTGGCGTTCACCACGTGCAGAATGTCGCCGAACTTGAAGCTGAGTCCCTGGCTCGGCAGCCCGGAGTCCTTCGTCTTGTCGTAGTCAAACAGAGCCCTGTAAGGGGGGAGGGGGGCAGGATAAAGGTCAATCACAACTACTAACTACTATCCACTACAGGGGGGCAGGATAAAGGTCATTCACAACTACTAACTACTATCCACTGCAGGGGGAGGGGGGCAGAACAAGTTCATTCACTAAATACATGGAACATTGGTCAAGGGACAAGGTCATTCACCACTAACCACTACAATAACAGTCAAACAGAGCCCTGAAAGGGGGGAGGGGGGCGCAACAAGGTCATTCACTTCTAACCACTACAACAGTCAAACAGAGCCCTAAAGGGGGGAGGGGGCGCAACAAGGTCATTCACAACTACTAACTACTATCCACTGCAGGGGGGAGGGGGGCGGAACAAGGTCATTCACTAAATACATGAAACATTGGTGAAGGGACAAGGACACCAATAACCACTACAATAACAGCCCTGAAAGGGGGAGGGGGTGCAAAAAGGTCATTCACTAAATTCACAATACTTCTAACAACTGCAGGGGGGAGGGGGGTGGAACCACTAACCACTAACCAGTACTGCACAATAACAGTGAAACAGAGCTGCTGACCTAACATAGAGCGACCGTTTCTGGCTGGTTTTCAGGCTGCCGGGGCTGACCGAGCTGTTCATCATCTGTTCCCGAAGGTCGTGGATCTTCGCCTCAAACCGGTTATAATCTGGAACAAGAAAAGTCTGATAAACAACTGAGGCAAAACCCAGACAATAAATGCTTACAAACAACTGACAACTTTGGTATTAGAGCAAAAACTGCATTTTATGGAAAAAAAAAAGTTGGTTGTGTGCTACGACCATGGTCTTTCTGTCATGTGACCGATCATGTGACTGATCATGTGACCTACCTTCTGGCCTGTACTGGGCGACGATTGTGACTGTGTCGCCGGCTCCCTTCAGGGCGGCCGCTGCCTCCTCGTGTGTCGCGGTCGACAGGTCCTCTCCATTTACCTGCAGCAGCAACAACATTCACAGGGGTTACATCAGGGCACAACGTCCGTGTGAGACACCACAGGGGTTACATCATGGCACAACGACATGACTCTGAACCATGACTCAGCTCATGGGAAATATTGACACACTTTCTGTCCTGCTATCCTCAGGTGGAAAAATCCTTATATTCACATATACACATACTTTGGAAAAAAACAGTTTCTGCTTGTCTAACCGGTTTGAGAGTAAGACCAGGCAGGATAATACTACACGTTTACCCATCATCTACGAAACTAGCTTTGACAAACTCATTTTGAATGGAGAAACAACCCCAGGGATAGAAGTGTGGTGAATACTAGCCTGGTTACCAAAACTATTATAGCTCCTGAGTCCTACATCCTCTCCTCTCCAGAGGACTTGGGAGCTATAATAGACAAAATTATGATATTACTCCTTTCAACATTACCAGGGTGAAAGGTCATGATTTTAATTGCTTCTGATTGGTCATCGCCATGGCAACCCTCACCGATAAGATCTGGTCTCCTCTCCTGAGCTCTCCACTGAGGTCGGCGACCCCGCCGGCCAGGATGAAAGATATGAAGATGCCCTCCCCATCTTCTCCTCCCACGATGTTGAACCCTAAACCGGTGTTCCCTTTCTTCAAGGTCACCGTACGGGGTTCCCTAAACAAACAAACAAACAAACAAACATTAGCATAAGTACAGCATACGCATGACTCACTACAGTGCCCCCCTCCCCACTAATGTTATTTGGAAAGTCATGGTGCCAGCTGGTTCCCTGAGAAAAAAAAAACATTAGTGTGAAGTTGTAAACATATACCTGGCTTACGTCCATGCACACACGCAGACACAATAATGACAGCCAGATACTTTTCTTTTCAAAGTTCCCTCCAGATATAAGGTAACATAAAAACAGCTTCAGTGATAAGAAAACATTAGAGATTCTTATTCACAAGTTCTGAGGTAACAAACTTATGTACCTGCACACACTTTTCTTTTGTTAAGTTCATCACAACAATTTTGAAAGTATTTTTGTCTGACAGACTTTGAGCGAAACTGAACATGTCAGTCCAAAACCTTTGCCCTGAAGCCACTGTGAAATTCTCACAATCTCACAACCATTCAACAAAATGGTATTGTAAGTGTAATGAAAAATATGACACTGTTATCAGCACAAGTAGTACTGACAACAGTGCCTGCCCCCCCCCCCACACACACACATGTTAGCCATAACAACTAGGTCACAACAGAGCCAGATAAGAGCCATTTGAATACTTTTATCCTGAGGTATGATGGCTATAATTTCATGTGTCAAAACCCTTCTCACCAGAACAGTTACTCTGTTAGGTAAAAGAGTGTCAGATCCACCTACTATCCACCTGGTCTCCTAGCCTGCCCATGTCAGATATTATAATAACTGGGTCACAACAGACCTTCAGCACTGATAAGATCCATTAGAACACCTTTATCTACAGAATAGGTGTGCCTATGAGAAGTCTCTAGTCATATAAAATATTTCCCAACAGAACAGTTATAATGTAGGTGAAACGGTATCAGATCCACCTACTATCCACCATGTTTCCCCCATGTCAACTATCACAACACTTTCATCTATAGGTCTATTCTAAGTCATTGAAGTACTGAAAAACTTGACACAAACACTTTTTTATATGTATAGGTATAATATGAGGCGTCTCACGGTCTCCATGTATAAAACATTTCCGAAAGAACAACAGAACAGTTATGTATGTAAACAGTGTTGTGTCCACCCACCAGCCTAAGTGTACATGTCCCCTCCCCATGTCACTTCTACACTCTCACATCTGTACATCAGTTCTTAGTGACTAGTTTTTCTGCCTGGTGAGAAACAATACAAGCGGCTGATCCGCAGGAATGCAGTGAAATCTCCCAGCACAAAGGACTGTGGGACACCGGAATGTGTGACCTGAGGGTCAACTGGGGCGTTACCATGCCGACGACCCAGCTAGGTCAGGGGTGACAATACAGGGCAGAAACTTCCTGTCTGGATATACATATAATAGTCACCATTATACTTTCTTATACATAAGTTATAGGGTAGACTGAAGGTGTGTTAGCCTGGGTCCCAGACTGTTTCTAGGGCCTACACAGGCCAGCTCCTAGCCTGGGTCACAGACTGTTTCCTGGGGCTATCTGGATATGGACACTATTATACTTACTTATACGTAAGTTATAGGGCTGACTGAGGTGTGTTAGCCTGGGTTTCAGACTGTTTCCTGGCCTGTCTAGAATATGGACACTATTATACTTACTTATACATAAGTTATAGGGCTGACTGAGGTGTGTTAGCCTGGGTCCCAGACTGTTCCTTGGGCCTGTCTGGATATGAACATAATAGTCACCATTAAACTTACTTATACACAAGTTATAGGGCAGACTGAAGGTGTTCTAGCCTGGGTCCAAGACTGTTTCCTGGGCTTACACAGGCCAGCTCCTAGCCTGGGTCCCAGACTGTTCCCTGGGGCTGTCTGGATATGGACACTATTATACTTACTTATACATAAGTTATAGGGCAGACTGAAGGTGTGTTAGCCTGGGTGCCAGACTGCTCCCTGGGCCTACACAGGCTAGCTCCTAGCCTGGGTCCCAGACTGTTTCCAGGCTAGTCCCAAGACCAGATTATGAACTTGCCATAGGCTAGGCTATTTGAGACACTTCCTCAATTCCAAGACAACCACTTCCTTAAGATTTCCTCCTGACTTCCTTAGAGGTGCACCTGGAGCTGAATTCCACAAACATCTCAGCCTGATGTAATTATAAGGTTTGAAGGTGCCCAGTGCAGTTTTTAGGGCTTGAAAAACAAAATTTACAAAGTCACTAATACCTACTAATTTTAAACAACACTATCCTGATGTATATCATTATTAACATTCAAGTCTTCATATGAGTCTCATTCCTCCACCAAGGACAAATCATCAGCTCTCTGTAGCCTTTAATTTAAAAGTTTTAAAAGGCATCATCAAAGCATTACATTTTCTTAGTTTTCAAACAAAAACTTCAGCTAGAATACAGGATGAATGCAATTTAGGGAACATAACTTGAATCAAGCTACATTCCGTACTTGAAACTGTGTATGGCAATATTGTTCTCCCAGTTCAGCCGTGTTTTTGAATCCACAAACCAAGAAATAAATTAGTGTGCCCTAACAAAGGACAAAATCACCCGACTCTAAAGCAGCTAATTATTACCTGTGTCGACACAGCAGCAGGGCAAATGTCACATTTAATCATAATTTACACGCCTGGCTGGTCTTCAACAGCAGAACTAGAAAAACGGCTGCTAAATAACAGTGCAGATACAAAAGCAGAATCCTTGAGGTTCAGCTAAAGGCTGTAACTGTAATCGACTTAGTCCACAAGTTCTCAAGGGACCGAAATTTTAATACAAAATTTGGCTAACAGATATGGAAAATTATACCACAGGACATTTTAGTGAGTGTCTAAGAATTTGGTAATACTGAATGTTTTCTAACATATTTCAAGGACTTTTATTTTTCACATGCAAAAAAAAACTGTTCCCCATTTTGACATGGAGCCAAAATCAGAAGACTTCTGCCCAATAACCTGTGGGTCACTTCAGGCTAACAATGCTCCAATTAACACCTTTTCACACCTGTGAGAAACAGATCCAGACACACCTGTGCATAACAATGCACACCTGTATGACATCACACAGGCACGTGTACCCACACACTGTATGACATCACATCTACACCTGGTATATGCAGGCTAGTGCAGGTAAAACTGGAGCTTTGCAGGTATTTCTCATGTCTACCTGCACCTTGCCTGCACCAGTACTGGGCTTGTACATACATACATACATACATGTTGGTGTATGTGGGTAACTAATTTTATTTGCTGCATTAATTGTTATCACCTAGTATGTAGAATTATAAATGAAATAATGGCAGTGGTTTCTGAACAATTTTTTGAGTGATCCATGCTGTCTACATTTGAGACGTGCAGGATAAAAATTTGAAAATGGCAGTAAATGTCAATATCAGGCAGAATATTTTTTTTAGTTTTGCTGCTATAATAGGATGCCTAGACCTGTTTTTATTCTTTTTTTTTTCACCCCGTCGCTTCTTATTTTTTCTGAAAAAATCAGAGAACCAAGAAATTAAATTGGTGTGGCCTAATACTAGCTTCCCTACGTTCTATGTATGACATGGTAATCAGCTGATGGCCCTTCAGACAGACTGTGAGGGGAGTTGTGTCGGGTAATTTTCAGTAATGGCACCTCCTTAAGGAATTAATGGTACCTCCTTAAAGGAGTAAGTGGCACTTCTGGAAATGTCTTCTCGCACACACCGATTTACACGGGCAATTTTCTTTGGCCTTTCAATGCAAAATGGGCTGATTTTTGGGGTACCACCCAGAAAATACAGGAGTTATCTAAGTAACACTTCCCAGAAATAGCATTAGATGCCTTTAAACCCAGAAACACTCCAGTCTGGCTGGAGAAAGGGGTAACATCTGTGTCCATAATATCACCAGGGTCCATAATATTGCCACCTTGAGAAACAGTGTGCTTAAAGATATTTTTACTGCAACATACTTTTGGTATGCACTCCTTCACACATCAAATGTACATACCTAGGGTATGTTGCAGTAGAAATATCTTAAAGTACACTGTTTCTCAAGGTGGCGATATTATGGACCCTGGTGATATTATGGACACAGCTGTTAAGTGGCACTTTTGGAAATGTCTCCTTGCACATGCCGTTTTATACGGGCAATTTTCTACTTGCGGTGTGTAAAATGTTCACCATGCTTTTATGTCTCACACTGTAGAAAGAAGATAACAAGTGTTTATATATACACAGCTTATATGTTGTATGTTATACATGTCCACACTGTAATACCAACAGTAATGTCCTGATGCCTTCAGATAAGGTACTATTAATCAAAGCACATTGTACTATATGACGTAGAAGCCAACTATAGCATATTTGGGGCTTGAGTACATCTGCAAATTTATACTCAACCTGTTGTCAAAGTTTTTTCAGACTTGTAAAATATGCAGAACTGAGAAATGAAGTATAACGTCCAGACAAAATGGATCTTCTGAAATTCCCCCGACACATGTGGTCATTCCTGCCTGCCCAAACAGCCCTGGATGGCATTGTAAACCTGACAACATTTACACACTACTCCATACAAACCACTGGCCCCATCATGTAAATCTGACACTCGAAGTCACATACTGGCACTGTAAACCTGACAATTGCATACATGTACACACTTGTCCTACATACATGTAACTTCAGAACATTGACACACTGGTCCATACAGACCACAGAACACACAGCCCCCTCATAATACATGTAACATCACAACATTTACTTCATACCTTACACACTGGTCCCATCATATACAACTGACAACATGCGTGCACACACACTTGTCCTACATACATGTAACCTCACAACATTTACACTGGTCCATACAGACCTCAGAACACACTGGCTTTTATGACCTGACAACAATCCCACACTGGTACTGTAGTACTGTACTGGTCCTACAAGTATTGTAATTTGTAAACCTACATGTAAGAACAAAAATTGACACACACTGGACATGCAAACCTGACAACAACCCAACACTGATCTGGAAAATTCTGAT